GAAGACGAAGCCGCCGCCCCCGAAACTCAACCTGGTGATCTCAACACCCCCGTTACTACGTCTGGAGACATCCCGTCCTTCTTTGGGCCATCCACCGTCGTCGAGCCTCCGCCAATCACAGGTAAGACACGTTTTCTATCGCCTCATGTGTCAACTTGTCTGTGGTGCTGCTGCTAAGACTTGCCTGAATTTGGCAATTCATCACGGAAGCTTTTAAGTGACATTAAGGAAGGAAGGAAGGACGAAGTATTCAAATAAATTACATCAGTTTGACTTATCTGATTTTAAACTGGTCGTGAGAAACGGATGTTTTCGAATGTACTTGTACTTGAAAGTTGACACGTGAAGCAAACAAAACTCTTTATACTTATGTGGGAAGTGATACGTAAATGATCGTATCCTTTAAAAACCGACGAGGAGATAAACGGAAATAAATTTAAAAAGAAATGTGCCTATGTGAATTCTATCGTCCGTTTCTGTCCGTCTTGATACTCCGCTAAAAGAGAAACTGATACAGCTTTATTTTATTTTAATCTGTTGCCAGTAGTTTCTCAGCCTCGGTTGTCACTACGAAGAATAAACACTAAAATGTTTTATTGCCGTCGGTGACATCATAGCAACATTACGCCATGCTGACCAGCGCATCGTAGCGCGGTATCGTAACGAGTGAGCCAAGCCGTGTAGGCAATGTTCGTTGCGCACGCTCGCCGCGTTCGGGTTTGCCCGACTAGCGCACGAAGCATGCCGACCTGCTCCATCTAACATTATTTCGTTTGGGCTTTCGAAATTAATCGATAAAAATGACGCCCTTGAACTTTGTCTCTCATAAAGCAAACAAATTTTGATTCCATGAAAACAAAAGACCGGTTTTTCGTTTTTTTTTTGTCTCTTAATACGATGATGCATGGAGATACAGCAAAATTTTGAAATAATTTACAGACGATTTCATAAGTAACATTTCAAAATGTTAATTGAATGGATGAATAGATAAAGAAACTACAAAGAGAAATAGTGTCGAAGAGGCCTAGCTGTGCAAGATGCGACCGTCAAACAATAGGTTGTTAAAGTAATTAAATATTAATTAAATCAATAAAAATTAAACATAACAGATTAATCATTTTTAAATTTTGTGGGAGGTATAGATAGCAATTGTCTGTCTCCCAAACTGAAAACGTCTATTCAAAGAAATGTCATATCGTGTAGAGTAATAACTTTCATTCTACAGATGTTGAAAAATAATTTAAAACATTTAGGCCTACACTGATCAATCTGACAAATACTCAACTGTGTGGCCCGACTCTCTACCGGAATATTCTACAGGCTCTCGTGTTTTAACTGCTACGAATTACTGCTCATGAATCACAGCTTCCTGGCTTACTGAAGCATATTCTACAAGTAGCCTTGTAAACATCAGTCATCATCACAGAAAAAGAAGTCGTTCATGACGACAAATTCAGATTCTGCAGCGGATATTGTGACCAAGAAAATATTTTTGAAACTAGAAGTTTTTCTCACTCGTAGTTCGTATGAAATGAAATTATTCAGTTCAATAAGAATTCTCGGAATAAACGCTGACACACAACTTTCCAGGATCTAAATTAAGTCATCTGAGCTTGAATCTGTCCTCAGTGTTCTAAATTTTCTGTTAATTATAAATTAATTATTAATAATGGGGAATTTTGTTCAATTCATGGAACTCTTATCGATTTTATATCGACGTATTAACGCCAATACTAATTAACTAATAAAACTTGTAATTTCATTAAAATTCCGTGTTTCATAAGAACAAACAACAGATACTGCCAAGACTTAACGTAGCCATTAATACAATCTCTTGGTGGGAACGAGACGGATGTGTCCCACATATTACAGACGCATTTCAAAAAGGGACATGTTTCTAAGAGCAACGTTTTCGTAAGCACAACGCCGGACTGGCCAACACTTAAAACACCACACACCGTATATAGCTCTCAGAATGTGCCCTATTACATATTTCATTTCAAGAACACTTCAAGGCGTGAAAGCAGCTTCAGGAACATGGTTCCCACCACGGCGATCGCCCTGAAGACCATTAGAACCTCAAAGCTCACCTTTTAACGAGATTCGTAAGATCCATCTGAGAGGTCAAAAATACGTACATTGTGCGGAGCTTTTTAACCAAAATAATGTTAATATTTCTTGTTTCCCACATGCGTACTGCACTTGTTTCGGCCCTACGCGATGTAGCCGCTGACTGTAGAATCCCGGTGTTTCATAATACCTTCACGTTATCGTAACACGAAGGTCAGTGGTTGTATATTATCACATTCAAGGTGTGTGAAAGGGTCGTGTTTACATACACCCACTTTCCAAAGGATCGACAAAACAACAGGGAGAGAGAGAGAGAGGGTCATGGCGATCCCCGTCCACACACACACGCCCTCTCTCTCTCCTCTCGTCGCTTCGGCGTAATGACATTACCGAATGCGACAGCGGAGGAGGCTCGAACTGTCGTGCGCTGCCTCGTGTTTGTAAATTGCTGATGCAACCGAAGGCGGGGGATCCCCCCCCGACCGCGCATATCTAAAACGGGGCACGTCCCCTTAAAGAGTTTGTAAATTATGCACAAAAATCTCAGAAAAGACATAATTGCTCATACAATGTTTTGTTACAATATCAAAATTCCCTTGTCAATCTGAATAATTTATTACGAATGAAATTAATTAAAATGTAAAAGGAAAGTAACTGTTTTCATTACAAAAGGACTGCAAGAGAGGGTACGGATATGAGAGGATGCCGGCATATAGAGAAAAAAAATCATATCCGCCACGCTTGTAAGAGTTTCCTTGTTTTGTATCGTAAAGTGGGTGGATATTTTCGCCATTATAGACTCTACTCACTTCCAACTTGCACCGAATACGAAGCAAATTCTTCCTAAACGTAGTGACGTCGTCAGAGGCCCACTGTTTCCGTATTTCCTGGAATGCCCTGATATTCTATAAAAAAAAGCGACTGAGAAATCAAAATAATCATTGAACCAATGAAATGAAACTGGCAGAAGAATATTATTTCCTGTTCAAATGTCCACCTGACGAATAATTCTTTTGAAACAGCCGTCCTTTTTAGAATTCATACTGCCTTTTAAACTACGTAATTAGACATACTTGTGGTTCTCACGGATGAAGGTGTCCATTTTGTCTCCATGGCTACAGCCCTGAAGATGGAAGCAGTGTGTTATTCCGAAACGTTGGTACCTACTGATAAGTCCACGTGGCGTCACGATTAGCATCCAGTTATTACTCTTTTTCTGTTGGATGTGGATATTTGAGATCAGAAAGCTAAGAGAATGTTTGGACTTAAGAAAGACCAAGCGACAAAGGCTGGAAACATCTGCATGATGAAGATCTTCATTATTTGTACCCTTCGCCGTACATTATTGGGACGATCACATTTAGGAGGGCGGATGGTGCATATAGCACGCATGAGACAGAAATGCAAACATAATTTAAGTAGTAAAGCTCTGTCTTGGAAAACCAGTGCGTAGACGGGAGGATAATATTAAAATTTATTTTAAAACAAATAGGATACGAAGGTGTAAATTTAATTAATCTGGCTCAGAATTCAGAGTATCCCTTTGCTCTTACGAATTCTGTAACAGACTTCCTGGTTCCATTGAAGTGTTCTTTCATAATTAACTAAACGAATATTAGCTTCTCGATAAGAACTCTGTTCCGTGAACTTAGTTTGATATAAGTGCACAAAATGGCACTAGTTTCGTTCACAAAATACATGTTCGTTGAAAATTAAAAATTACGAAGGTGGATTTGTCGCAGTAACATTACTGTTTTCAGATTTCTCTCTGTCCTATCGAATGGTCCGAAAGTTATCTGGGGACATGAAGTCTATCTCAGCCAACAAAGTAACCATGGGTCAAAGTCCTTTTCATAAGCTCGTTAAGAAATACCCACCTTTCTATTACACCCCAAAGGCTCTTTGCCATGTTCACAAGAGGCACTGATATCTGTCATGAGATTGAGAATCCAATACACACCCTCCGAACTATTTTCCTAAGGCCATTTTAATATCAGCCGTCCAATACGCCATATTTCGTTACAAAACAGAAAAGTGGGTTTAAACATTGTACTCCTTACCTCTTGACGACAGCAGTACTCCGATACCCCCCCCCCTCCATTCCTCCTGCCGCAAGTTCTGTGCTTCGTACTATCCACAATGAAAGGGAAATCCGTTTAATCTTCCCCTGGAATACGACACAAGGAAGATAGCAAAATTATGCGTTATCGCTCGATGACGTCGTCGTGATGGTCTGAGTACAACGATATCAGCTTGAGTGCACTGTGACGTACCTGACTTCCACAGGACCTACCTCGTACTTTTTGGCTTCCTTAGACCAGTGGTATTAAACCTTTTTTGTTCGCGTACCCCCAGATATAATTTCTCTTCAACTTTGTACCCCCAAAGTTGTTGGTGTATAATTCAAGTTATACATAGTAAGCATCATAGCTTTCACTTCGACAAAAATTTGCGATGAGGATGACTCCGTTACTCTGTAGGAACAAACAAAACATATTCCTAGTAATAGGTCTACGTCTATCGCGTTCTTTTTTTATATCGGGAATGAACACCTCGAGAAGACAGCTGGCTTCTGGGTTGTAAGAAAGAACCCATGAAAATTTTACATAACCCAGGAAGAAGTAGGTTACAATAGCTGGAATACCGTCAAATAATTAAGATACGGAATAGAGCGACATTATTGGCTTAACCGGTTCTTTAATATTAATACTGAAAAAAAACATAAATTTAATTATCACTGTGGCAACACTGATCATATTGATAATATATCTAAATGTACGTGCGTAGAAACTGCATTCATTCAACGCTGATATTATTACAGCATTTGGGTTAAGACATCGATCTCCGTAGTCGAATATTAACGTCGAACGAAAGTAAACGATGAATTACTGGCCGGTAACTCTGGGGCTTAGTCTAACCTTAAAAAAAAGGCCAAAATTTATCGTGAAACTGCTTGCATCACAGCTGTGCTTATGCATACGTCACTTAATATGACGAAACGTTCAGTTGAATAATCGAATTCTCCCGACTTACAATTAACACTCCCGAGTTAATTCAATTGTCGGAACGTTTCCCGGTAGGAGAGAGTCACGTTATTTGCGTCCAGTCCGTACTCTGTTTCTGCACTTTGCAGCTTATTTCGCTCTAAAGCAAATACAGAACTCTGTTGACTCGACACACTAATGCCGTCTTTTATTTACCCATATAATCTTCCTTGTAGGTATATATAGCACAATATTTATATCTTCAATATGTGTAATGATGAAACAAATGCGAATTTAACTGTATATAAAGTTTATGTTGGTACTCCCGTTTGCAACCATTTATCATAGGTCTATAGGTATTAACATTATTATGTTCGTGTGTCTGCCACACAAAATATAATCACAAACATGTTATGTACATTATAGGTCAATGGTAAGTATGTATACCATCTGCGTTTAGGTCGGTATCTCTGCATGCCGTTCGCGAAGTCTGTTTTTCATTCTGTCAAGCTGTCGTTTGTCCTTCAAGGGTTCAAAACGCGACTCTCGTAAAGGCAGAGTGGCCGTCAAACATTGTGTCGTGCTGACAAATATGAGACTTAAAAAATCAGGTATGAGCCGGGATTGCTCAGTTAGTATAGTGACTAGCTACGGGCTGGACGACCGGGGTTCGATCCCCGACGGGGGCAGAGGATTGTTCCTCTAGCCTCTGCGTCTAGACCGGCTCTGGGGCCCACCCAGCCTCCTGTCCAATGGGTACCGGGGTCCTTTCCCGGGGGTAAAGCCGGCCGGGGCGTGATGCTGACCACTCACCCCCATCTAGTGCCGAGGTCAAGGAAGAGAGGAGCTATACCTCCTCTCACCCCAAGCGCCTACATGGCGTATAGTGGGACAAACTTTAAAACTATTAAACTAAAAATTCAAGTAGTGGCTACGATAATGGGTAATTCTGTCTACTCCTAGATTCAACCCTTTGAAATCCATGGCCTGTTAGTCTTACTTTTGATATTCTGTAAATTAAATTTATTTGGACTGAATTAGAAAAAATTAGGTCGCAACCACACCTCATACAGCGAACATAAAGGATATTTTCGTACCACATATACGCATATTTAAAGTTCATAACAGCGATAAATCCACTAGGAAAAAGTTTTTATCGTTTTTATATAATTATTTCTGGGCACGTTCGGAACCCTGAGACGCTCCTGTAAATTTCTTACGTCATTCATTCTAAAAGATCAATTATTTGGTAACTATTTAACTTATCCGCCATGAAATATGATACTGGAGAATTACGCTACCAGCATTTGTCGACATGTCAACTTTTGTTAAGATCGGACAAAAATAACGCACACTTTACATAGACCTACATGCATTGTGAGTAGTTGGGGAATCACATGTCATAATACTGGCGAAATTGTTCCTGTCTGCACATTTCCAAACCTATTTCAATATTACGTTCTTGTAACTTCAACACTGTCGAACTGAGTCCGGTAGTGGAACAGAATGTAATTTCCGTGGGTTTCTGATAGACGATTTGGCACGTTCCGGACACATCTGAACTGATCTTGGCACAAATGACTGAAGATCTGTGGAGTCCAATCCAGATTCAGTGCTAAGACAAACAAACAGACGATCACGAGGAAAACTGTGTTCTGGGTTGTAGCGCCGTGTAGTCTGATCACGAGCGTGCTATTTGTAAAACTGGTTCCCTCCGCCAGATATAAATTCTCCATTATTCCCTCAATCCTTTGAAGCACGAAGAAGAGAGAAAGTGTAGAAAGTAGAGGGAGAGTAATGAGAGAAACTACTTTTAACGGGGATGGAGGAATTTTCCGTGCTCTAAACGAAGCTCATCTGAGTAATATTTAAAAATTAAGACTCCACTCAAAGAAAACAGTACAGAGTTCAACTGCTGTTCAGGGCAAAAACAAAGAACGAAAAACAAAATCTGTTCAAGATTTCTGTCTTCTGGGTTGTTGCGCCGTGTAGTCTGGTCGATGTTTACCAACGTTTCGGAGGTCATACTGCCTCCATCATCAGGGCGATGAATATTCAAAATTTCAGTCGAAAAATTCGAAAAAAAGCGAAGATAACTAAAAAATTGAATATTCATCGCCCTGATGATGGAGGCAGCAAGGACCTCTGAAACGTTGGTAAATATCTACCAGACTGCACAGCGCAACAACCCAGAAGACAGAAATCTTCATACTCACCGCTGTGATAACCTCAAATCTTACAGGTGATACATTGTTACCATTATGCTTTAACGGGTTAACTCTGAAGCAAACGAGTGTGACGTTAAACCAGACATGTCCAGGGTGACAATGAGACTGAGATGACCACCCCCAACAAGTGGCTGCTATCAGCTGAGGTGCTCCCCCCCTCCAATGGACTCTCCCGGCTAGGCAACAAGCCCGATCAATATCGGGTGTGACACGCGGTGCGCACTCTCGCTGGTCAGGACGACTGGCTGCAGTGCTGTGACGCAACAATGTCCGATTAAACTTCCCAAAATTAAGAATGCGAGCAGAATTTCACAAAATCGCTGCCATTGTTTGAACGAGTCTTGGTTAACTTTTACATTTTTCAACTATATTGGCAGTATGGCTGCCGTGAATCATAAACCGGAAAGGGTGTAGAAGGAGGCTTCAGTATTTAAAAGAAAATCCCAGGGTTTTCCAGACAGAATACGGAAAGCCACGAAAAAATCCACGCAGG